GGCCCAGCAGCCACGAGGCGCAGGCGCGGGGAGGACATGCAGGGCCAGGGGTGCTCGCGAGCCTCACCCCAGCCTTCAACCCGTCGCCAGCTACCAGGGAGGGAGGAAGAGCAAAACCCCGCCGCCCTCCCGCCACGCAGGGTCCGCTGCCTGATGAGGGGAAGGTGGTTTCCCAGTGAGGGAGAGGAAGGATGGAGGCTGCACAGCCCCACAGAGGTCCGGCCGCGCTCCCGGCCTCCCTCGAACAAGAAGCAGGACAGGAGACCAAGGCGCAGTGGTAGGAGAGGGCAGGGCGGCGGGGCCTTGGCTCAGCAGGCTGCAGGGGGACGTCAGCCCTGCCCGGGAGGAGCAGGGGAAGACGCCGACCCCGCGCTCCGGCTCAGCCGCTGCAGGCTCTCTCCCGCGACGGGATGGTCTGGAACCGCTGCCGGGAGCGGGCACCACGTGGAAGAGCCGCAGCAGCTGGCAGCCTCCCACCAGAAGAAAGGGCTGCGGAAGCGAGCCAAGCCCAGAAAGCAGCTTCTTCCCCAACACATCATTTTAACCACAGTCTGCTAAGGACAGAAGGCACCGGGACTGACAGAAACGGAAACACCCCCCCTTCGCCCAGGGAACCGGCCCGGGCTGCCGTGGGGGAGCAGAGACCCCACGGGAAAGCTGAACTGGATGTCGGTCTGTGGAGCCGGGAGCGCGCCCCGCCCCTGAGCCGCAAATACAAGCTGGAGCTAAACGTATCGCCGAAGGGCCACGAGCCCTGGGCCACCCCGACCACGAGCCAGACATGCCCACAGGGGTGGGAGCCAACGCGGCCCGGGCCCTGTCCCTCCCCTTGGGGACAGCCCAGCAGCACTGTTTAAAAGAGCCCGGTCTCTAAAACCGCCCGCCCGTTCACAGCCGAAGGCTCTCCCGCCCCAGGCGTGTCACCCCGTAGCGACAGCCCCTGCCCCAGCCTGCAGCGGGATCCGCAGGGACAAGAAAGGAGGCTCCAGCTACCACCAGTGTTCCCTCCACATCAGCATTGGGGACCGGGGGCCAAAACTTGCTGGGGTGGCTGGAAGCTCTGCTGGTCCAACATCCCAGGAGGCAGCACCAGTGCTCACGGAGCAGGAGCGTAAGCTCCTAGGGGTAACCGTGACCCATGCTTCAGCCCTGTCTGGCAGCACAGGAGAGGGCTAAAGGCATTACACTGCGGCACGAGGACCTGTGCGTGCGCCCCGACTGCAGTCAGACCCTTGCTGCGATTTGCTACTCGGGCGCTAGAGGAGTCCTGCCCCGTCCCTCCTGGGGAAAAGGAAGCACAAGAGAAGTTCTCTTTCGGGTTGGAGAACCTGCAAGAGAGGCAGGGACATGGGGCTAGGGAGTTCTTGGCCACGAACCTCATTTCCAGGCCTTGGGGCTGAGCAGACGAGCTCTGCACCTGGAGAGAGGTGGCTCTAGCGACCTTGGTGCACCTCAGCCTGCTCTGAGAGACCGTGCCTGGGACACGGCAGGGGGCAAGCGTCCCCCTCCGTGGGGAAGCGACATGCCGCTCGGCTCCGCGCTGCTAGTCTGGCCCTCCGCCGTCCCCAGACACCAGGAGACCCGAGCCCTGGAGGGGCTGGAGCGGGGCCGGAGCCCGGCCTCTGGAGCAGCTGGTGTGGGGCCAGGTCTGCAGGAGAGCTGTTGGTCAGGAACCGCTCCGTGCGTGGCAAGGGGGTGCTCTACTCTGCCAGAAGCATCCAGGGCTGCTTGGAGAGGCCATTGCCATCCCTCAGGAGTTGCAGATCACAACACAGAGGAGTTTGCCTGCAAAGGAGGAAGCTGTTTCTCATCAGCTTGTTGAGAAACAGGGCTGATAGCAGGCAGTGTGAAGGGACAGAGTGGGAAAACGTGGCACAGATCACACAGGGACTCTGTGGTAAGGCTAGATCCTGACATCGGTGCTCCATGGAGTCCAGGACCCGTTTGTGACCACCACGGATGAGCAAGTGGGATGGGAAACACAGACAAACTGCACGCTGCCCCCAGGAGAGAGAAGAGGCTGCGGACAGGCACAGTTCTCCGACAGTCCCACACAGGCCGGGGGGAAGGCTACTAACCTTGCCTGGGGAGAAGGAACCAAGTCCTCTGGCTGCAGTGGGTCTGAATCAAAGGTTTCTGGCAGTTCTGGTATGGAGCCACCTCCTTCCACTGCTGCACGCTCCCTTCCTCACTGCCCAGCTCTGCGGGGCCTGCCGCCCCAGCAGGCTTGCCCTTCCGACACCGCGGAAGGATCGACAGCCAGAAAGCTCCTTCAACCAAACCGGCTGGAAGCAAGTAGTGCCAGAGCCAGGCCAGAGTCTGAGGGAACATCAAATCTGGCCACTATTCAGGGCAGGATCCTGGGAAGGAAGGAGCGTGTCCTTGCCTAGAAAGTTCCGAGGGAAAAGAGCTGGCTGTCAACAAAGGGTCAGGACCACCAGGGAAGAACACCTACCCTGGAAAGGGCTGAGACCCAGAGTATCTGTGGGCAGAGAAGAGGGTCTGAGGTAGGTGACCCTGCAACAGCACTCCCACCGCCTGCCAGAAGGGTGGAAGCAACACGCAGGTCCGGCCGGAGGATGGAGGCGAGGAAGGGTCCGGGTACAAGACCTGGCGACGTCCCTTGCAGCCACCGCGGGCAGCCCCTGCTCGCTGCGCCACAGAAGGAGCAGGCTCTCTTGGAAGGAAGCCCTGTTCAGAGGCACTGAGACAAATCCATGCCTGCCGCTGCTACCAGATCAAGGGCATCCGAGGAGGAGCACGGCCCTGGCACAGTCACACGGACATACCCAGACAGCTTAGCAGCGTGCCAGACACGACAGGCAGTCCAGCACCAATCGAGCAGACGCACAGCAATGCAACAGCCAACAAGCGGGGGCCTTAAATTAAATATAAGGAGGGCTGAACTGCCAGGCTCAAAGAGCTGCAGAGGCACGATGTCCAGCTGGACCAAGTCAGCAGCGGCATACCCCAGGAGTCAGTACGGGGGCCAACACCAGTTCGTATCCTCATTAGGGACCTGGACAACGGGACCGGGCGCTCCCTCAGCGAGGCTGCAGGCAGGACAAACCGGGGAGGAGCGGCTGACACACCAGATGGTTGTGCTGCCATTCAGAAGGGCCTCAACAGGCTGGAGAAACGGCCCCCAGGCAGGGAAAGGCCAAGTGCTGAGTCTAGGGAGGAATAACCCCGCACACCAGGACAGGCTGGGGCCAACCACCCGGAAAGAGGCTTTGCAGAAAAGGGACTAAGGGTCCCAATGGACAAGTTGAACACCAGCCAGCGAAGGCGGCCAAGAGCATCCCGGGATGCATTAGGAAGAGCACCGCGAGCAGTTTGAGGGAGCCGATCCTCCTCCGCTACTCAGCACTGGTGAGACACACGCGGAGCGTCCAGCGCTGGGCTCCCCAGAACCAGGCATGGACACACAGGAGTGGGTCCAGTGCAGGGCCACAGGGATGATACGTGAGAAGAGGCGGACAGAGATGGAGAAGAAAAGGATCGGGGCATCTTATCTACATGTACAAATACCCGACGGGAGGCTGTGAAGACGACAGAGTCAGACTCTTAGCAGTACCCAGTGACAGAGCACGAGGCAGTGGCACAAACCTAAAAGACAGGAAATCCCATTTAAACTTAAGAAAAAGCCCCACACCCCAAAAAGAAGAAAAACTTCTTACTGTGAGGGTAAAGCAGCACTGGCCTTGAGCCTGGAACAGGTCACCCAGAAAGCAACCTATCTCCGAGACATTCAAAACTCGACGGGACGTGGTACTGAGCAACCTGCTCTAGTTGAGCTGGGGTTGGACTGGACGATCACCAGAGGCCCCTGCCAACCTCAGCTACTCTGTAAAGGTGTCAGAAGAAGAGGAAATAAACCTCAAACGAGAGGAGCAAGAACAACCGAGCTGTGAAGCAGCTTCAACTAAGGAAAAAGCTGAACTGCCTGGGGTTCTTCATCTTCGAGGGGTGGCCAAAGGGAAGCGGCCTCTGGAAGCACCAGCACGGAAGGTGGTAACCGCAGAGCTGCTCTTCACTCCCTCGCGGTACCAGACCTGGCAGCACCATGTCGGCTGACCAGGCAGCAAGTTTAAAACAAACAGAGCTTGTTGCAGGTAGTACTGCCTGGAGCTTGTTGGCACCAGACATGGCAGATGTGGAAGAAAGAACAGGCTCAAAGAGGAAGAAAACGCTCACGGAGAAGAGGTCTGTCAGGGCGATCAAACACAGCTGTCCAGACACACCCTCTGGTGCAGGAATCCTTGGACTACCCATGGTCCGCTTCCAACTCGTTTTCTAACGATCTGCCGCTGTTTGCCGCTGGAGAGGGAACAGAGGGGAGGGGACCAGAGCGCCTGTTCTCACACACCCACAGGGAGCCAACCGCACCGGCAGCTGCACGACGATCCGGCACGCTGAGCGGAGGGGAAGAGCTCCCGCAGCCTCGGTCGCGCCTAACCGGGCACTGCGGACAGAGCACCTGACCCGATGCACACGGGGAACAGGAGCACACTCTTGCTTGCCTGCACCCCTGCCCATTCTGCCTCGCTCCTCAGAGACCCCGCTGGGCTGCTGGCCAGCAGCCTCAGCCTCCTGCAGCAGCCCCGACCCGCAGCAGGGGCACAGACCCGAGCGGTAACGGTTACCACAGCCCGTTTGAGATGGGGCACGGACCCCGCCGCTGGGCCAAGGGCAGGGCGAGCACAGTCCCTGGCCGCCGCAGGCGTGCTGGGCACAGGGCAGGCAGGCAGCGGCAGCCCTCGGCTCTTGGACGCGGTGGCACAAAACTCAGAGCGCAGGCAGCTGTGACAAGCGCCCTCCTCAGCCGAGGGCATCCCCGAGCCCAGACACGCAGCGAGAGCCTGCGGCACCGGGCGGTGAGCGCTGGGGAGCCCTCCTCCGCGCGACAAAGCTGCTCAGCCCCCTTGCTGCCTGGGGACACGGCCGGCCCTGGGCAGCCCGTCCTGAGCTCCAGCACAAGGGAGATGCAGGGTGCGCTGCACAGGAGAGCCGGTCCTGCTCCGCTGCTCTGCGATTCAGGATCTCCAAGGAAATACCACAACTCGAGTCACAGGACTGCCAAAGCTATGCATAAACAAAGGGCTTCTGAACTATGTACGTTGCAAATTATGAAATTAAGAGGAGCTTCGTGTTGGCACGCTGTGCCGTCAGCAGCGGGGGAGGTAAGAAGCTTTAAGAAATCGTTATGGGACTGCTTGGTAGATCTGACTGTAATTCAGGTGACCTCTGAAGTGGAGAAGTAAACAGGGATAAGAGGCCTGCATTTCTGAGTTGTTTTCCTCAGAAAGATCTATCCTCAAGCTAAAAATCACCCCACGTAGTCTTGTAGAAGCTGCACACCTTAAAACAACATCTGAAATTTCCAAACCGAGACAGTCGTGAAGGCAGCGGTGAAGCCTCGAGGGCTTCTCTGTTCACAGCTCTCGCCACAGACCGGCCAGAGGCTGCAACCAAAGAGGCCAGGGCTCCGAAACAGCCATCGAAGAGGGGTTCACCTCACCCCGCCTCCACCCACAGCGGCAAGAGGCACGCAGCAGAACCGACAGCCGGGATGATAGCACAGGGCATCAGGCCAAGCCACGGCTCCCCTCGATTTCCACCCCGAGGCCCCACAGCCAACACTGGCAGTGCCGAGGTGCCTGCCCGCCCAGGCTGAGCCGCTGCCCCCTCTGCCCTCCCCACCTAGCACGCGGGTCGGGTCTCAGCTCCCACCCTGTGCGATGGGACTCCTGCAGGACCAGCGGACACAGGAGGGGCCGTCCCCTCTCCCGTGCTTTCCACCAGGACACTGGGGCTGCTATCACCTGCCAGCTGCATGGAAAAACTCTTGGGGCGGGGTGGGGAGGGCAAAAAGCAGCCATGAGGATGAGTCACTGCTTCCTCTCACAAGCACCAAGCGTGGAAGGACGGCTCCCATCGGGAATGTTTACAGTGGGGATGCCAGCTCTCCAGCCTGCAGCCCATCTCGCTGCCCGGCCACGGGCGGGTTCTGCCCAGGGGGAGGAGGGGAAGGGAAGGGAGCAGCCCCCCGCTTACCTGAACCAGACAGTAGCCCAGCAGTCGCAAGTGCCTGTCCCTCATGGCTCGCGAGCCCACCAGTATGTCGGAGTTCTGGCAGTAATGCCATTTGTCATTGACCGACAGCACCACCCTGCAGAGGACAGAGCCGGGGAGGAGGGCAGTGTTACCCCGCGCCGCAGACCCCACAGGCGGGGCCGGCAGCGGCGTCGCCCGTGCCTGGTCCCCAGAACAGCGGCAGGTGAAGGGCAGCAC